CTGATGTGCTTCCAAAATCCTGCATCAGAACTGAAACCCAGGAAAAGCAGATAGACGTTTAAAAAAATGATTTGAAAGGGCATTTTGAAAGTTGTTTTATACCCTCTTCATTTCACTAGGCTGCCTTGGCAGAGAGCAGTTTACCTTTGCTAAGCAACCCGGGACTGATCAATAACGCGTCCAGCGGTCTGCTGCAGGCCGTCCACGAAGACCTCAACGGCTCCCTGGACCACATGGACAGCAATGGCAACAGCAGCCCGGGCTGCTCACCGCAGCCGCACATGTAAGTGTGGCTCCCAGACTCCGTAAGGGGAAGGGCCTGTGTTCACCTGCTTCTCAAACATAGCAGCCTTCTGAAACTTCCAAGAGCGTATCAGTGAAAAAAAAAAAAAAAAAAAGCAAGTTTAAGTGGAGCTAAACTGCACCATGTTTGTGATATAGAAAAAATGTCTCAAAATCGGTTTTAATACACCTTTTAAAGTCTCTCCAGTATCCTCTAATTATTATACTGGCAGGGCAGTCCTCCACAAATTCTTAGTGCTCCTAACATTCTCTTGGGGGTAAAACTGTGTCTAAGATGAGTGTACCTCTTATGGGCCATTATCACAGTTTGGTTTGGATGGTGCAATAAGAATATTCATGATGGAATAAGTTGTCGTAATTTTTACTACTATTACAGGTCTCTAAACCGTTTATGAACTGTAGTCAAGATATGGCCCGTTTTTATAAACCGTAAAATGCAAAGTTTAACTGTTACCCACAGTTTACATAGAAGCTAGTAAAGTGTAACTTTTTGCCTGTCTTATAAATCAGTGTAATTACATATTCAACTTTAATTACTGGTGCGTCTGTATTGGCAAGGTTTATATGTTATATTTTATGCAAGACTACGATTCCTATTAATATTTAGCAGCTAACTATATCATTAATTACTCTAAAATCTTTCCCCTACCATCTTTTTAATGGAGCTGAGAGAGTAGATGTATTAAAAATTGATGTATTGTGGATTTCAGAAATGTGTATGACACTTTAAAAAATGCCTGGCCTTATTCAATAGGCCAAGCATATCAGTTTCTTGTTTACTAAAAAGTATGGGCCCTGTTAGAACTTAGAATTCAGGGAAGAATATTAGACTCTGAATCCTGAGCAATTCATTCAGTTGTTAGAATGATTGTAACTTATGTCTATGTTTCTGAGAGTTAAACATCACATGTTTCTAATTTCAAGTTATTGCGGTAAGAGTCGTACTTTCTCTCATTCTTACATTTTCTTTCTCTGTTTTTGCATTAAATATCTAGTCAAAGGCCAGAGGGAGAAATAATGGTCTTTCTAGGCGCCTGTTTCCATTTGACCTTTCACAGGGTATTATTGTTGTTGACTTTTTTAGACATCTTATTCTGCTTGACACATTAATGTCTTTAAGATCGTGTACTTAATTGCTTTATAGCGCTTTTACTCTATCACCTTTGTGAAAAACACACGGCGAACGTTAATGCGTTTTATCCGGTTCCAAACCATTACTTTTTCAAAATGGAAAAATTTGTCTTTCGGAAGTGTCTTTAGATGTATTAAATAATACAAAAGAAGTAATAAAACTCGGAGTAGAAAGAACATGAATATATGCTCTTGAGAGTCGCAGTGCTCTAACACAAGGAAAGTGAGCAATCCAACTCAAGTTTTTACATCTCCGCTTTATCCTACCAGCGGCGCGGTGGGGGGGGGAGCCTGAGGCCTTTTACTTTCAGCCTTTCTCCAGAGTATGCTAATGCTGGCCCCCTGTATAAAATGCTAAGACGATGAAACTTTAAAGAGCAAACAAGAGTTATCCTCTTTTCCCCCTTAAGAAAAAGACCTATTTCAGAGAAATGAAAGGTATTCATAATAAAAGTGTTTACAATGTCGGTGCAACTGTCTGCGCTACTAGGCAATGTATAGTGGTTGTTAGGAACCATCTACAGGGGGTGTGTAGGGAAGTGGTTTTTTAAAATGTTGATTGTCCAGTGATAAGAGTCTTAAAATAAACGATGAATGAGGTCAATAAAATAGCTTATTGGACGTTGTTTTTAAGAACCAGAAATCATCATTGGGCTAAATTACAGCATTTTTAGGTTAGCACTATTTTACATTTGGCAATTGCTGTTTTAGATTATTCATCTTGTTCTTAATTTAGTTACAGTTGAATTATAAAATGTCTCAGAAAAAATAGCGTGTGTTAAACAATATATAATAATTGTATATTTCATGCCTAACGTACTGCCACTCTGGGCTTATAAAAGTAAAATATTCATAGTCAATATATCGTACATTTTATGCCTATATGAATTAGTGCATTTGAAAAATATTTATGTGTATTTTCCATAGAGAGAGAAAGGAAAGCTTCCCTCAGCTTGTTGGAAACAGATTTCAGAAAAGATAAAAGTTAGAGGAAGACTAAATCTTGTCTTTTCCTAAATTATAATCATATTCTTAATTATCTTTCGGAATATTGAGTCAACATTCATTCTTTGATTCTGTTTCCCCTGCTGTCATTAACATTTTGTATATTAGATGTCCAGTATTATTGATGGAATGTCACTTCAGCATTTTATATCTTCATCTTCATAGAGTCTTAAGATGCTTGTACTTAAAGAATATGTTGTCATTTTATGTGTGGTATTAGACAGGGGAAAAATACTATCTAATCTCTCCATCAATATTTGGCTGCACGTAACTGAATGCGCTTCATAGTACTTTGAACATTAAACGGAAGTGAAAGAATTGTTTTACATTTGAATAGCATAGTCATGTGTCCTGAAATTATATCATGGTACTTGTTGTTACTGGCTGGGGGTGGAGGGTTAAGTTGTGCTGATGCAATTGTTAACAAGAGGCAAAGGGCCTCGTGGTATTAGCGTATATGGGCTCTGGTGGCAGATTGTAGGGCTTCCAGTCCCAGACTTAGCACCTAATAGCTGAGGTAGATTTATTTCTTTCCTCAGTTTTCTCAGCTGAAAGTGAGGTAAGTAATAATAATACGTACCTCATAGGAGTTTTGCACGTGAAATGAGTGCCTGGAACATAATAATTGCTCCCTGCTTCCCTCATAGTGCTGTGTTCATAGTTACCGATTTATATTACCTCTCATAATACCTTACTATTGCTATAAAGGAGACCATAAACAATACAAAAATATTTTGTATTTTAATACATTCTTTTAGGCTCTCCATAAATGTGTGGCTACTTTCCTTGATAGTCCCTCTTCTTTTCCTCCCACCTCCTCTTATAATTCATAAAGTAAGTGGACCCACGGAGTGAAACAGCATGAGACAGGAATTTGTGGTAGGGAGCACCTGACTCAGCGTCAGTGAGATCAGAGGTTTTTGAGATGAGAAGATGTTATCTCAGATTGTAGGCAATGAGCAATTCGAATAGGATAATATCAGCCCAGAACAGGAATTCATGATATGTGCCTGGAGAACATTGTGTATTTGGTTTGACAGGAATTTAGAATATAAAAAAGGGAAGTAGAATTTAGAGTCTGTCAAGGGGACCGGACTGTTGAGTGTCTAAAACATCAAGCTATGGTGTTTTGTGTCAGTTTGGAGCCTGTTGATGTTATGAGCTTGGCTTTCACTTGCCCAGAGATGTGCTTTGGGAAGAGTAACCTGCAGGTGTGCTGGATGAACTGTGCCTGAGTGGAACTCATGTGTGGAAGGATGTTCTGGAATTGGGAGAGAACTGGAAGCAGAAGATGAGTTCTTACAATATGTTGTATCTGACTTAAATACAAAACAAGGGGCGGAGAGCAAGGAATCCGTACAGGAAGTGCTGAGAAAAGAAATACCAGAATAAGACAATGGATTGAATGTTGGGGACAAAGAGGAAAATTAGGGGGAAAAAACCATAGCGACTTTAAAAGCCTGCAAGAGAAATGGGGGACACAGAGGACAGGCTCAGGAGGGAAAATGATGATGAGTTCAGTATCTTACTTGCCGAATCCAAGTGTTCTTAGATTCAGGAAAAAACAAAATGGAAACTGTCTCTTCATTTAGTCTTTCTGTTCAACTCTAGAATAGTCAAATCCTATATTGTAAAATATAGAAGTATTCCTGAGATTAGGAGATAAGATGTTTTAAAACTTTAGAAGAGTAGAAGAACTATGGATTAGTGCTTCTTTCCAATTATTCTTAGAGAGCAAGAAATGCCAAATTATCATCCATAGTCTTCATTTTAACACTCCATATTTAACACTCCCCTGTGCTGTGGCTTTTACTCTTAGCACGCCCAGAATGAAGAGTTTGGGAAATTAATGCACGTATTTTGCCTTAACCTTTGGCCTTTTTGCCCTTCCCTTTTTTTGTTTTTCATTCTCTTTCCTTACCTAAATTCTGCCTTTCCGTATGAGCCTAATCCTGTTTTTCTAGGAGGCTTTCCCAAGTAATTTTGACCTACACTCTGCTCCACATTTCTGAAGAGCTTGTCGCTTGTACCACCATCTGGAACTAAGGCTGTGTGTGTGTGTGCGCACATGCACATGTGTTCTTGCACACGTGTGTGCTCATTATGCAGTTATTTCTGGCTTAATGGTAGGTCCCTTAAGGACAGAGACTATGCTTTAGATACATTATAACATATCATAGTTTATGAAACCCCTAACACATTATACAACACAAACGAAGCACTCAATAAACATATGATACTGATTATGAAGAACCAAAATGGGAGATGACAGTTCATTAGAAATGGTTTGACTTCACCAAGCGATCCCTATAAGAGTACAATCCAGGATTCTCGTAGCGTGCTGAAGAAGAAGGGAGAAGAGATTTTAGGAAGAAGAGAGAACTAACTCCAATGTTCACTTTTATGAAGGAACCAAGAGATCTTAACTAATGGCAGAGTATACTTGTGAGCTTGTATTTTTAATTTTAATATTTTAGTTAATTAATGTCTTTTAGAGCTGTCCAACTTTATGTGAACAGAAAGTGGCAGGCCTTCACCTCATTTGTGACTATCCTCTGAGG